GGGGTTGCCCTGGGCAGGACCCTGCTCCCTTGCTGGCCAGCCCTGCCCACACCACACCATGTGAGTTAACCTCTAGTAATGCTCGTTCATTCAGATTACACATTGATAAAACGTAAATTTAAGAAGTAAATTGTTCACATGTTGTGTGTGTGGGTGTTTCAGGTGTGTTGATGTGGAGAGAGGGTGGGGTTGCGAGTGTGAGCCCGGGAGGGGAGGTGCTGACTGCACAGCCTCCACCCACCCAGCATCATTCTCCTCGAGTAGCTACGTCAAGGTGGCACTCTCGCTGGCCCCAGCACCCAACACCACCTCCATCCAACTGCGGTTAGTTCTTGAAACTTCGCTTTATATATCTTGTTCACACTTGTGTATATGGTACAAACTAGCCGAGAGTAAGACGGTACACAGAAATATGGTTAATGCGTATTTCCTCCACACAATCTAAGTCCCTCTTCAGCAAACAGTTACTTTCAGGTCAATGAAGAGGGCCTCAATGAGAGGCTGATATATACAGTACTCAGTGCTTTTTGTGGAAAATTGCATTTATCTGAATGTAACTCATTATATACATAACAGAAAATGATAAAGATAATTATTATTTATCAGAGTTACATAGACAAGTAGGAATTTGGGACACCTAGGTCGGAAAAATGTCCCCCTTCGATACCTACCACTATCATAACCACAAGTTGCTCTGGACCTATTAATTAAATGAAATATACACACAGCAGGAATACTGGTAAATATATAAATTTGTGGACTGTATATTAAAAATAATGAATGGTTATATATATATATATACACAATTACATAACAGAAGGAAAGTATATCTTAATGTCACTCACCAATTTGACTGGATATTAAGTTGTATCATACTCAGAAAAACCTCACTAACTAAATTTATGAAAACACTGGCCAGAATTATACACAAATCTAGAGAGCTTATCTGAGGTTCCTGGAGCTGTCTTGTCCAGTCGTCTGATATCTCAAGTTATGCAGGAATGCATGTCCAACAATTTTGCCTCCTATTATTTTCCACACTTTTTGCCGAATCCTTGAACATGAGAGTGCTACTTAACTAATGCTTGTAATTCTTATGTGCTTGAATTTATGTGCTTATGTCTATACTATATGCAATAAGATCACGATAAACAGGTGATATCACAATATGCAAAACAATCACTGTGGTTGTTTTGCATGTGTGTGTATTATATATATATATTATATATATATATATATATATATATATATATATATATATATATATATATATATATATATATATAATATATATATATATAATATATATATATAATATATATATATATATATATATCCGAATTAGTCAGTCAGGTCGAACTGCCCTCAAAATTTAACTTCCAGAATTTTATCTTAAAGATTGATAAATGTTTTTTCATTGTTATTGTTGTAAAAAAGTTTTGCGCCAAACTTAGAAGCTTTTTTGGTAATGGAATGATTACTCATTAATTCCTCGCTGTTTTTACTGTTACAGTTTTTCCCCCTGTTACAAGTCGTAGGTTTCTTTTCCCTGACAAAACTACCCGATACAGCGGCTGTCAGATAAACACACATGAATAAAGCTATCAGGTTCATGGAGATTTCGATTCTATTTTACTTATATTCAATTTATCACTATGATCGTGAACTTTCACTAATGTTAATAGTGTAAAGTTTCTCTCTATAATCTCAGGTACAGGACTTGGGAAGAATGGGGTCAGCTGATAGCGGTGACCTCCCAACATGGACGGGACCTTGCTGCCTTACACCTGGTGGACGGTCATGTCTGTCTCAAGATGCTGCTTCATCCTACTGCTCTCGTCCATCTCTGCCTCTCTCAGGTGCTTCTTACCGACGGAGAGTGGCACACTGTTTACGTCCGCAGGTGAGTGTCAACTGTGAGTTGATCTCGTTCTGTCAGTTTCATTAGTTAGGGTGACAAACGGTGTTATGGCAACAACGTAAACTGAATCTTCTGTTTGTGGATTATATGGTTTGTTACTTAACATTTTTCATATATAAATAGAGTACACTATAATAAGTCTGTTGGCCTATACTAAGCAGGGTCTACTCGTCTCATGTTCGACAATGGATAAGTGCTGCAAGGTTTTTTGGGGCATCAATTCGCAGTTAAAAAATATAGCAAAGATAGTATAATGCCCTGTTCGACGCTGTCCGGAAACACTGCTGCGAATCCTACGCCGTCAGAAGACTTAGAGACATCTGTGTATACAGCAATGGCAATGAGAATGAGAGTGAAAGTGGTCAAGGAAAAAGAGAGGGGAAGCGACGTAGGCATGTTTGGGCTTTCGAAAGCAAAGGAGAGGAGAAAGAACAGAACTTGAAACAGCTGAACCTTACCCGGGGATGTAGGAAAAGTGAGATTGCTAACATGAACATAGAAGAAAGGTGGTAATTGAAGAGATGGACAAGGAGCGAATGAAGGCCGATGGAGAAGGGACGGAGTAAAACAGGGGCGGGAACAAAATAAAGAATGTCTACTAATGATCAGTGACCATTCTATAAATGGAAGGATTGCGAGAGAGCATTGAGAGCGTTACATAGTATCAAGGCAAATGGGCATACACGGCGATCGGATAAGGGATGGAGTTCGCTTCTGCATAGAGGCTCTTGACAGGGGAAGAGCGAAGCACCAAGGCATAAACGTGAATCCTTGGTGATGAATGGGGTTAAGGCTAGAGAGAGTAGCAGGAGATGCCGCGAATTGATTGGGTCCCATAATCAAGTTTCGATAAATATAGGGTGGAATGTAGGCGGAAGAGGGTTTGACGATCAGCTCCCCATGAAAGAGGAGCAAGGGTTTTAAGAAGGTTCAGCGGCTGTGAAAGTTGCCTTCAGAGAGGTAATGTGAGTTTCAGGAAACTACGGATCAAAGAGGAGGCCCAGAACTTGACCGTATCACGTTCAGGGATACGGGAGCCATAGAGGTACAAAAGGATGGATCGGAGATGACAGAGGTTTTCTAGTGAAAGTAAATTGGTGGGTTTTAGTGCTGGAAAATCTAACCCATTTTGGTGGCCCATTGGAATACACGGTCGACTGCATGCTGGATGAGAAACTGTAATGAGGTGACAGTCAGCGCCTGCAAGGCAATAGCGAAGTCATCCAACATAGAGTGTATGACCAGATATTTGATGGAGACTAGAGGCAATGCATATAGCAAGGGGAGAAAAAGTGTTGATGTGCTCAGAACACATGTCCTGGGGGACACCTTCAGCCTTGGAATAAAGTCCGGGGAGAGACATTATTAACCCGAATCGGGAAATTGCCTGTACAGTTAAAAGTTCTTAAGGAAGGATGGTAGATTGCCTCGAAGGCCTAAGGAGTGGGCTGGGCTAAATATTATTCCTCCAGTTGTGTCATTATGCCTTCTAGGTCAAACAATTGGCAATAACTGAGTGGTTATTCGCAAAGGCATTACGAACATACGTATCCAAGCGTAGAAAGGGGTCTTAGGGTCTAGAAGTCCTTATGAAAGCCATATTGGGAGTGGAGAGACTGTTATTGTGTGTCTCTAAATGCCACACTTAATGTCAATTTACTAGGCGTTCCATCACTTTGCAAAACTGCACGGGTAGAGCAATGGGATTATAGTGGGAGGTTTCATGTTCGTAGTGCGCATGGGTATTGCGGAAAAGGGAGAACAATGGGCGGATTTCCACAGTGTGGAAGAACTCCTTGTGACCAAATATGATTGTAAAGGCTCGTAATAGGGACTGCAAGGCTGACTTGATGTAATGTTGTAGCTACGATTATGAAGGTCGGTTGGGACCCAGCTGCCGTTGATCGGCAAGCTGAGAGTGTTGCCTCAGTTTTCTTGAAAGTGTAAAAGGCACATTTACTGTTCTTCTCTGAGAGATGAAAAGTCCAAGGGTCTAACTCTTGGCCAACTTTGAGGCAAAGAAATGAGGGGCATAGATGGAGTCCCTGAGAATTACGGGACCAGATGATTGCCCAATTTCCATTGGACACATCTAGTGGGTTTGCTATTTCAACACCAGCAAACCCGCAGTACAGGAGCGGGTCAGGAGAATATTTACCACTCAGTTTTCGTACTTTTTGTTCCAGACGCACTCATTGAGGGAAAAGCAGGGGTGATGTGGAGGACATAATCTCGCCAATAAGTGCGTTTAGAGTCACGGATGACGCGGCGAAGCGATCGCACGCTTCTGGCTTAAATCAGAAGTCTTCCGTGGTTTATTGTACCGGTACCTGCCCCATGCCTGCGCGGTTTCAAACGTACTGCACGAGCACAAGCAGGATGGACCACCCAAGGCATGCATTTCTGAGAATGCATGCCCGGAAGTTTGGTATTATAGAATGAGAAAGCTGCGGTTTAAAACGGAGGATGGAAGAGGTTTGTATTAAAAGCTCATCGTGGAGGACGAAAGAAGGAACTCTCTAAAAACAGTTAGTGTGAGTAAAGGTTCCAATTTGCTGATCAAATTGCCAGCGTGGGATGCGAAGAGGTGGTGATTATGAAGGGGAAGTAGAATGATTGGGAAATTGATCGCTGTCATTTAAAGTCCGGGGGAACAGGACCAAGTGAAGTCTATGCGGTGGAGGAAGAGCAGCCTGAGAGATCGATGGCAAGAGAGAGTGTGAGTCGAGGATCAAAATGGGTTGTGAGTACTGTACTTAATACATGGAGGGGGTGGGTGGCAAGAAAAGCCTCTAACTGAATGCCTTGAGGAATCACAGTGAGGACCCCCCAGAGGAAAGGGTGGGCATTAAAATCACCAAGTAACAGAATCGGGTGGCGGTAATGACGGAAACAAGAAAAGACAATACTCCGAATAGATAATGCCCGAGAAGGAGAGAGATTTATAAAGAACAGAGCGTATAGACCTATGCATGTGGATACGGGGATGCTGTGTTATGCAGCGAAGTACGAACAATAGCTGATGGTACGGAATATCAATGGTAGAAGAAGGGCACCTTTCATTTTAAAGGTCCATCAGGAAAAGGATCTGAAGAATACATAAATAATAGCCTGAGATGGAGAGATTAACAGCAGTGTTGTAATTTTGGTCTGTAAGCAAACACCAACAGGGAAAAAATGGGAGATTTAACATCTTGAAGCTCACCCCGATTACCCCTGGGCCGCGTATATTCCACTGTAAATGGCATGATTGGCATGATAAAGATACCTGAAATCCAGCAGCGTAGGGTTTCTACGGCTAGAGGGGTTAGAAGTTAGAAAGAAAAAGTCCACATTCGGAGGCAGTGGAAAACGTGCAGCAGTGAAGGAACGGTGCGCTGTGAGGAAGGAGTTGCGCAGATGGAGCAGAAGCTGAGGAGAGAGAGGAGCGGTTAAGGGTGGATCAGTTGTCCATTGTTGGTTTGGTCTCTGCAATATATTCAGATTTTCTTTCAAGTGTTTCGGAATTCAGAGACGTCGTATGGGAGACATACTGGGAAATGGTATTTTGGGGCGTCCAGGTTGTTAGCCAGTTGGTAGTTCGGGTGGTAGCCCAGGTGGTATCCCAGGTGGTTTAGCCCATGTGGTAGTCCAGGTGGGTAGGTACAGGTGGTAGCCCAGGTGGTAGTCTAGGTGGTATAGTCCAGGTGGTAAGCCCACGGTGGCAACTCCAGTGGTGAGATTAGCCCAGGTGGAGTTGAGCTAAGGTGGTATCCCAGGTGGTAGTACCAGGTGGATAAATCCCAGCTGGTATTAAGTCCAGGTGGTGTATCGCCCGGTGATAGGCCCGAGGTCGTTAGCCAGGGTTAGGTAGTCACTGAGCGGGTCGGGTTGAAGTGCCGGTCGCGCTATTTCCAGGCGCGGTAGCCCAGGAGGGTAGTCCGGTGTAGCCCAGGTGGTAACCCAGGTTGGTAGCCCAGGGGGTGGTAGCCAGGTGGTAGCCAGGTGGTAGCCCAGGTGGTATGTCCATGGTGGTAGCCCAGGTGGAGGTATCCCAGGTGGTACTCTCAGGTGGTAGTCATGGTGGTAGTCCTGGTGGGAGCCCAGGTGGGGTATCCCGGTGGTAAACCAGGGTGGTGCCTAGGGTGGTGAGGTCCAGAGTGATGGGTGGCCAGTTGGTAGTCCGGGTGGGTAGCCAAGGTGGTATACCAAGGTGGTATCCCAGGTGGTAGTCCGGTGGTATGAGTAGTCTAGGTGGTAGCACAAGGTGGTGTCCAGGTGGTAACCCAGGTGCGTAGCCCAGTGGTAGACCCAGGTGGTATCCAAGGTTGGTGGATCGAGGTGGTAAGTTAGCCCAAGCTGGATTAGTCCAGGTGGTAGTAGCCAGGTGGTAGCCCATCGTGGTAGCCACGTGTGGGTCCAGGTGGATAATCCAGGTGGTAGTCCAGGTGGTAGCCCAGGGGTAGTAGCAAGTTGGTAGATCCACTGGTGGAGCCCAGAGTAGAGGTAACCCTAAGGTGGGTGCCCGGTGGGTATGCCAGGTGGGGAGCCAGGTGTTTTGGGGGGGTGTAGCCCAGAGGATGAGTCCAGGTGGTAGTCCAGGTTGGTAGCCAGGTGGTAGTCCAGGTAGGATAGTCCAGGGTGGTAGCCCAGGGTGAGTAGTCAGGTGGTAGTCCAGGTGGCGCAGTGCCAGTGGTGGTAGCCTACAGGTAGAGGTATAGGTAGCCCAGGTGGTAGCCCAGGTGGTAGTCCCAAGTGGCAGCCCAGGGGGTAGTCAGGTGGTAGCCAGGTGGTAATACCCAGGGTGGTAGCCCCTCAGGGTGGTAGTCGCAAGGTGAGACGCAGCCCCGCCACTCCAGAGTGGGTAGTCCAGGTGGAGTCCAGGTGGTAGCCCAGGTGGTTGTCCAGGGGGGTAGCCCCAGGTGGTAACCAGGTGGGCATATAGCCCCAGGTGGTAGTCCAGGTGGTAGTCCAGGTGGTAGTCCAGGTGGTAGTCAGGTGCGTAGCCAAGGGGTTATGGTAGCCCTAAGTGCGCAGTCCCAGGTGGTAGCCCAAGTGGGCAGCCACAGGTGGTGTCCAGTGGGTAGTCCAGGTGGCAGCCAGGGTGCGAGTGGAGAAAGCCCAAGAGGTGGTCAGAGTGCAGAGGTGAGAGAAGCTTGGGATTATCCAGGGGTGCCCAGGTGGTAGCCCAGGTGGGGGAGTTAGCCTTCCGAGGTGGTTATCCCAGGGGTAGCCCAGGGTGGTAGTCCAGGTGGGTGTCCAGGTGGGTAGTGGGTGGAAGTTCCAGGTTGGTAGCCAAGTGGACAGCCCAGGTGGTAAGCCCAGTGTGGTAGACCAGGGTGGTGTAGTACAGGTGGTGTAGTCCAGGTGGGTAGGCTCAGGTGGTAGTCCAGGTTGGATGTAGCACCTAGTAGGTGGGGTGAACACCCAGGTGGTAGCCAGGTGGTAACCAGGTTGGTAGCCAGGTGGGTAAGCCCAGGTGGTAGCCAGTGGTGGGTAACCCAGGTGGTAGCAGGGTGGTAACCAGGTGGTAG